CAAGTGGTCCTGGTCATATTCTCTCTTCAGAAAGTTCTCTGTTACATCCCCTCCTTCTGAGACCTTCCCCTCCCTCCAGTCCTCACCCCCTCAGCCCACTTGCCCAGTACTGGTGGAGAGACAGGGGATGTGGGCATCTGGAGAGAGAAGGAAGACAACTGAGAGGTCAGAGAGGCTGACTTTGGCCCCCTCCCATCTTCCTCAAGTTCACACAACTTTTTAGTAGCAGAACTAGGGCTGAACCGGCCTTCTCCCTGTCTGGGGTTCTTTCCATGACCAGGATGCCCCCATGCATTTACGCTGAGTCTTCACAACCAATATGACATTGTCACCTAGACACAACTTTTAAAAATTAAAGGAAACAGTAGTTTTGTAAACAATTTTATTCTACCGGAAGTTCTTTCAGTATCTGAAAGCACCAGGGTCATCATTATATCCAGCAATACTTGTACCATACATGTACATTGACAGAGAATTTAGCAACGTCTTAAAAGTCTACATACACTTGGATCAAACAACTCCACTTCTAGGAATTTGTACTAACAAAATAATCACAGTGAGTAAAGAAACAAGATATTTATTGCAGCATTATCTATAATAGTGGAAAACCAGAAATAACCTAAGTGTCCAACAATAGGGGAGTGGTTAAATCAAATAGGGCATCTACAACATACTATCACGCAACATCAAAACTACTGTAGAGGAAATATCAAATTACACAGAAACATGTCAATACATTTACACTACATTAAGTGAAAATGCAGATTACAAAATAACTTTTTGTGAAAAAAATTCCTGCAGATAGAAAAAAGAATAGTACACACAAAAATATTAATAGCAGCAGTGATCTCTGGGTGGTGGAATTATGGAGAATTTTTACTTTCTTTACTGTCTCTTTCTAAATTTTCTACAAATAACATCGTTGGATTTTAAATTACAAATAATTTAAAAACAAGTTATTTTTAATTATCCTACAGCTATAGGAATGTGAATGGAGCTGTGGTTGAAAAATTTCAAGCACGTTTCAACAGAAACCACTTGATATAGGTCCGAGGACTCCAAAATTCTACTCATTCACTTCTCACAATTAACACTTGCTGAATTACACATTAAAAATTTTTTTGTGGGGCCGGCCCAGTGGTGTACTGGTTAAGTTCACATGCTTTGATTTGGCAGCCTGCGGTTCGAGGGTTCGGATCTCGGGCGAGGACCTACTCACCGCTCATCAAGCCATGCTGTGGCGGTGTCCCACATACAAAATGGAGGAGGATGGGCACAGGTGTTAGCTCAGTGACAATCTTCCTCACAAAAAAAAGAAAATTTTTTTTCTCCAGCTTACTTCTAACAAGTGGTCCTGGTCACATTCTCTTCAGTAAGTTCTCGGTTACATCCCCACCTTCTGAGACCTGCTCTCCCTCAGACACTCCTTTCCCTGAACATCAGAGTAGCACAAACTTGTGATTTTCGGCCTTCATGAAAGAAAAGCTTTCAGACACACTGAAATGCTGGGAGCTACAGGAAATAAGATCACCCCACTCTTGGTAAACTCTCCTCTTGAGTCAATTAAATGGCTCCATAGAATGCTAATGTGCATTACGTGTTTGACGTCATACTGAAATCTGTATTTAAGTTACAAAGCAGGCAGGCGGCCTCTAAAAGCTGAAAGGCAGGAAACAGATTTTCCCCTCAAAGTCCCCCGGAAGGAACGCAGCCCTGCTGACATCTTGATTTTAGACTTCTGATCTCCGGAACCATAAGAGAATAAATTTGTGTTGTTTTAAGCCACTAAAAAGTTACAAAGCAGGTATCTGGAACACCGGCTTGTAAGAATTAGCAAAACCTGACACACAGCATCGGTCCTGGATCCACTCAATGCCGAGTTAGAGAGCGAGCAACCACACACCCCAGCGTGCCGTCAGCCCTGGCTCACACCTGTTTTTGTGTAATTATCAGCAGGGCCCTTCCACGCTCAGGAGCATCCCAGAGTGGCGATCAGTTACATAATCACCTTGACCACAGGCCTCCTCATCTGGAATGTACATTTGCCTAGGAAGGTCAGAGGCTGGTAGAAATTTCATTCTGCTCCAAGAACAACTTTATCCTTAGCATCCAGGGAAGACCGTGATCTTCCTCAACAGAAAAAGGTAAAAAAACACCCTCAAACAGCCATGAATCGCTGACTTGTCGATGGCTCCTATCAAAGGATATTATCTAGTCTTGATTAAAAAAATCATCGTTTTGGGCCAGCCCGTGGCTTGGTGGTTGGGTGCGCGCACTCCGCTGCTGGCGGCCCGGGTTCGGATCCCGGACACGCGCCCACACGCCGCTTCTCCGGCCATGCTGGGGCCGTGTCCCACATACAGCGGCTGGAAGGATGTGCAACTATGACATACAACTATCTACTGGGGCTTTGGGGAAAAAAGGAGGAGGATTGGCAATAAATGTTAGTTCAGAGCTGGTCTTCCTCAGCAAAAAGAGGAGGATTAGCATGGATGTTAGCTCAGGGCTGATCTTCCTCACCAAAAAAAAAAAAAAAAATCGTTTTGACATGGATGTAAATTTTAATAAAAAATTTAATATAATTTACTTTTACTATTTTAAAATACTTACTGTGTTCCTTTGTTGGTTTGCAAACTGGCCCCCACACACAGAGGGCAAGGAGAGATGGAAGAAAGAGGCAGGCCCCCAGATTGTAGGTGGCAGGTTTAACCAGCAAGGCAACCTACACCCGAGGCTTGTCTCAGGCACCAAGAGACAAGATCTCTGCACTGCCCGCCAGAATCTTCAAGTTTATATAGAGGCCCTAACGGCGCTCAGTCATGCAGACCGTCCACGTGGTCTCAACACCACCCACTCTCTCAAGGCTGCGTCCTTGAAACAAGGCTGTGGGAATGGTGGGTAGAGCATCCGTTCCCAGGGAAGGGGAGGGTTGAAGGGCCTCCAATTGCCTGGTTCAGTTCTCAGGTCAACTGACAGTCACGTCCTCTCGATGACCTCCTCCGACATCCATCAGAAAATGCAGCCTACCTCTGAATTGTGGTCACCCATCTGTACACATCTCAAAACACTAAACTGACTTCTGATACACAAACGCAGCCCAAATTGAACATCACACACAATGTGTAAAATATTAATTTTATTAGGAAAGCATTTAATAGTTGTATTAGATCATATAATCAATCACTTAATTTTAAAATGATGTAACCTGAGGATATCAATTAAAATATGGATTTTTTTCATTCCTTCAACAAATATCTGAGCACCAAAGTGCCAGGCACTGGCGAGACAGGCTAAGCAGGAGGCCCCCTGCTCTTACAGAGCTCACAGCCCAGCAGGAGGACACGAGTCAAGAGGTTTATGTTTCCTGTTCACACACAACAGAGGAAGAGGACGGAGCTGTACAAGAGCACACAGCAGGTGTCTGACCCACCAGGGAGGTCACAGAGGCAAAAAGGCAAGTGTCTAAGAAGAAGGGAGAGGGGAACAGCTCAGGCAGAGGGAACCGGCAGACTCTACGGTGGGAAGGACTTCGTGGGTTCTGGAAAGGCTGGACCACCTTGTGTGAAAGCAGAGTCAAGGAGATGAGACTGAAGAGTGATGCTCAAGATCACAGAGGGCATCTGGGGTGTGGTGCTGCACTGAGAACCAGTGAAGATTTAAGGAAGGGAGGAGCAGGACCAGATGGGCACTTTGGAATGGCCATCCTAAGTCCCGAGGGATGGAGAGACTAGACGAGGTGAGACTGGATGCAGGCAGATCACTCCTAACTGCGGAAGCAAAAGACAGAAGCACCCAGGGAACTCCCGAGATCATTAGGAGGCTAAATCAACAGACCCCGATGACGGAACCTGCGGTGCTCGTGAGACGTGAGCGCAGGCGCCCGGCAGACCTGTCAGAGACGCGGGTCTGGAGCCCAGGGTACTGTGTCAGGAACTGTCGAAGCAGAACCATCCACTTTTAGACACCAAGTGAAGCCTAAGACGGGCTGAAGTGGCCCAGCGAGAACCAGTCAAGCCGTGAGAAACAGACACTTCAGAATGAGAAGTGCCAGGGCTGCGGGAGGGGACGGGGAGTTAGTGTGTAGCGGGACAGAGTGTCAGTCTGAGAAGACGAAAAGCTCTGGAGATGGAAGGTGGTGACGGCTGCACAACAATGTGAATGTACTTGATGCCACAGAACTGCACACTTAAAAATGGTTAAAACGGTAAATTTTATGTATATTTTACCCCAATTTTAAAAAAAGAATGAAGAGAGAATTTTGTGTTCTTTGTATCTTCTAGAATAAGAATGTGTTCATGGGGGCCAGCCTGGTGGCGCAAACGGTTAAGTGCGCATGCTCCGCTGTGGCGGCCCAGGGTTTGCTGGTTCGGACCCTGGGTGCACACCCACGCACCGCTTGGCAAGCCATGCTGTGGCGGCGTCCTATATAAAGTAGAGGAAGATGGGCATGGATATTAGCCCAGGGCCAGTCTTCCTCAGCAAAAAAAGAGGAGGATTGGCAGATGTTAGCTTAGGGCCGATCTTCCTCACACACACACACACACACAAAAAGAATGTGTTCATGTATTACTAAAGAAAAATCAGGACAAATGGTGAAGCGGGTTGGGCAGGATCAGCAGAGGAAGATGGGCCCACAGAGGGAAATGAACAAGAATGGCCAAGGAGGCTGGAGGAAAGCCTGGAGCGTGAGAGCATGGAAGCAAGGGCAGCATTTCCAGGAGGAAGCGTCCCACTGACTGGAGCGCCGTGGAGAATTAAATCAGATAAAGTCGGGAAAGAACCCACTGGTTTCAGCAACACGGAGGTCAAGCGTGGAGAGGCTGCGGGCTGAGGAGAGAACGGGTAGGAAACAGGGCTGCAGGTGCAGACCCCAACAAGTCTGTCATGGGAAGGGGTAGGACGGTGGCTGGAGGCAAAAGCACTAGAAGTTTTTAAAAAATAAGTGTGCTAAAATGTCATTGTGCATAATCAGCAAAGCAATCATTTCAGTGGAAATACAACTTTATATCGATAATCTCAATAATACCTGGAATTTACAGATTATAGAACTTTTCATACCACTTATGGGTTAGAAAGGATAACTAAGTGATTCTCTTCATTTTATGGTGGTAAAACTGAGCCACATAAAAATTTCTCTAACGAAATTTACAAGGAATTGAGGTTCATCAAATAAAAATCTTCACTGATTTAAGGTAGAAAAGTGTGCACTGTGTTAAGAAAACAATTTTACTGTAATAGCCACATGTTGAACAAGTCTAAAATTTTAAGGCTACTAATGTCTTAATTTTGGGTCCACGTCCAACGGAAGGAGCTTCCTACTCCAGCTACATCCTGAAGACACCGAAGTCGGTCTTCTGGATTGGCGCATTGAGGGCTGCGCTGATACTGAGCCCCAGGACCAGCCTGGTGTCCACTGGATCAATGATCCCGTCATCCCACAGCCTGATGAAAGAACAAACACCAGTTATTAGGAATCCTCCACCACGCTGCCATGTCCCCACTCGTGCCCAGAAATGCCCAGGAGGTTTTCCTTCAGGTAACACAGGGATCTACTGACTGGCTTCTGTGGACTATGACCCCACAGCTGGAACCACGTCCAAGAGAGGGGGACAGGAGGAAGAAGAACAACGAGGCTTTCATCCCAGGCCCCACGGAACGTCACATCCAGCTTACGGCTTTGGGAACAGCTTAGCACAAGACACCTCAAATAATCCCTGATTTTAAAACATTTTTACTTATTTCAGGAAAAACATTCCTGTCCCTCTTCTGCCCACATGCACGTACAAATCGAGTTGATGTACTGCTATTATCAATATGGAGAGCCACATAAATCCAGGTGACAGTCTCCAACCAAAGTCTCTACTGGAAAAGGAGCATTCCCTACAACTCCCACACTCTTAAGAAATATGAACATTACTGAATAGACTCCAGCACGTTTTATTAATAAAGTACCTTCAGATGTAGTTCTTTATTTTTTGCTACAATAGGAAAAACAAGTCAAAGCCTTAAACTACTTTCAGAAGAAACTTTTAAGTAGAAATTTTAGTTTGCTCTTCATCGACAACCTCTAACCTATAAAGAAAAATGAATGAGGAATATTGCTTTTTAAAGGTCATTAGTAGGGGGCAGTTTTGCTTTCTTTAAACAAACTGGCTTCAGTATCCAGACACGGCATCAATTATTAAACCATATCACATTGACAGACCATGAATCAAATCTTTGCTCATAAAACATTCATAACAGGGACCCTGCAGTATCAACAGCTAATAAAAAAGGTTATTCTTATAATTTGTAACCAGGTCAGTTGATTACACTCCTCACTGAAGCCCATAGACAGTCACACAGCAGCCCGATGAGGCCAGGGCTGCTGCCTGGTGGTCACTGAAAGGGCTGCCCCGGGTAAAAAGTCTGATTATCACAACATCTGACAGAAGAAACCTGGCGTGCTACATACGTAACATGCGAGGATGAAGAAAAACAGAGGAGCTTACTGTGGCCAGATGAGGACAGAGCCTTCTGAAAGACACAGATCTAGCCACGTTAAAGCCTAAACAGACTACGACATTTATTGTTAAGCTAAGATTTACTAACCTAAGGAAGGTGCCATAAACTGGCTTGAAAATCCTTTCATCTTGGAAAGAAAGTTTCTGTCGCCATGCCACCAAGAGTTTCCAGAGGATTAAGCAACTACAAGTCAGCAGCAAACCTGACTGTCTTTCAACATTTATTTCCAAAGATAAGTCCCTCTGGGCCATGTGCTCTCCTGCCTCGAACAGAATCCACTAAAATTATAATAATAATGTAAGTAGGAAAATAATACAGGATTCAGTCTTTCTCAAGAGATGACTTAGCCAGGGCTGAAAAACAAATTAATGGCTCACACAAAATACACTATTTTTCAAAGTTTAATATTTCAACTGTCCTTGTGAATTTCAGTCAAAATCTTATGTAAAAACGAAAACAAACTGTAGGTGAGCTTACAATATTTATTCTCTTAAACCTTTTATAGGTTTTCTATTTCCTCTTGGCTTCTCCTGGCTCCAATGTAAGTCTGCTTAAGTGATGGTAAAAAGAACATATTTATTTCTCAAATCAAAGACTATAAAATATTTTGTTCTTAATTAAATGAATCAATGACCCACCACATAAAATATACCTGTAAATTTGTGTACCTGGCAAAAATACATGTTAACACGTAAGAGAAACTAGCTTTTTAAAAACCCCAAATGGTGTTATTGGAATTCTGACTAAACACACTCTGGAAGGTGCCTGCCCCGTCTCTGCGGCCTGGCCCCCGGCGAGCGCCTGCCGTAGAGCATGCTCAGACGAGTGCACTGGGTTCCACTCGTGATTTCCTCCCCTCCCCGGGGTGCCTTCACCAGTAAGTGGCATAACTCACAGCACAACCTAATTTTAAAAGACACAAGTCGTTATTTTCTTTTTCCATCTGCCGAAGGGATGAAAGGCAGGCAGAAAGCTTAGTCTTCAGAACGCAGAGCATTAAAGTGGTTGAAGACAGAGGTCTGAATGCTCAGCCAGCAAGTCTCCAGCTGGGATGAGTGATAATTTATTACCTTGTTAAGTGGCGGCAGAAGCAAACAGAACCAAGGGCTCTAAGGGGCCTGAGGTCATTTCTTGGTGCTGACACGTGGACCCCAGCCTCGAGTAATCACCTTCTGAAGGCAGGAGCACACTTGTTCACAAGTGCCAATCTCATGCATAAAATGGGGTAAAAACAAAACAAAGAGAGGGATCTGACAGGAATCCACGTGTGTAAGCAAAAATTAGAAAGAACTAATTCCTGATGGTGACACAGCCAGGATGAACTCGCAGCCTCCAGCCCCAGCGTGGCCCCCTCTGGCTGAGGAACACTCTGGGCAGAATCAGACCGGTGGTGGATCCACAGCCCAGCCTGGGACCAGGGGCGTTTCTGCAGCAGGTGTTCCCATTACAGAGTCAACAGCTCAAAATTAAGTGTGCCCAAACACCATGTTTTGTTCCAACGAAGGCTGAACCATCAACTGCTCAGACCTCTGTACACAGCTGCTACCCTACCTGGCACTGGAGTAGTAAGGGTTTCCTTCCTCTTCGAATCTGGCAATGATGGGCTCTTTCAAAGCTGCTTCCTCAGCAGAGGAGAACTGAAAGAAACAGGACCCTGAGTAAGTCAGCCGCGTGGGACAACAGACCCACTCAAGGGAACCTCAGGGGAAAGGGGCCACAGAGGCCATGAATGTACGCATTACAAGCGATGCCTAACATACACGATCTCACCTGAGACACGAGTATCAAGTTAGCGCACCCGACCCCTCCCCTGCCAGAAACAACATCCTGAGGCCCTTTAATGCGAGGTCAAAACCAGGGTCTGGCGTGTGGCTGCATCCCAGCAGGATGCAACGACTGACCTGAATTATATAACATCACAAAAAGGCTCCATTACATCTAGCAGCTTCTGTTTAAGAAGATGGAGAAGAGGATTTCATTCAAAATAGCAAAAATTTTAAAGCTTAAAGGGGTAACAGCAACCACACCTGGAATAACCTCTTCAGTCTCCCACATAGCTGAGAGAGATTCTTCCCTAATTAAAAATACAATGGTTTGCCCATCAGTATTACAAGAAAGAAGTGATAATTAAATCAGATGTAAAAATCTTTACGCAAACTAATTTTGAAATCCTGAAAAGTATTTTCCACTTAAAAAATATTCCACACCAAAAAAAGGGACTTACTTCAAATAAATCCAACCTTCTTTTATGTACTTTCATAGTTTAATATCATTTATAGGTCAAGAATTTGGAGGAAGAACCACTAAAATCCTGTATTTTCCTTTCATATACAAAAATAGATGAACTCATAATCTGTATATCAAATTAATCAAAGAACAACTATTTAATAAGAGATCCCCATGCTCGGCTACAGTTTAAGACACGTCTTCAAAACCTCAGGCAGAGTTTCACATCCCCCCCCCCCTGCCCACACACTTATATTTGCCAGGACACCCGTCAGCACTCAAGTGAACCTGACACCTCATCTAAGTCTGCAGAGTCCTGCTGCTCAGAAAAGACAACCAGGGACGGGAGGCCCACAAAGGGTGGGCCGCACTCAGGAGGAGGACCCACCCTCTGGCTTTACAGCACCCCACTCCACCAAGGAGCGGTGGACCTGCCAATCCCCGAGGGCAGACGCCTCCACTGGGTGCTGGTGACGACAAGACGGCGCGCCTGAGCCACGCCAGCAACACGCATCCGTCCTTCTGGGACTCGGTGCCCACACGAAGTAGTTACGTTATAACTAATAACATTAATGCAAAATTTCAGAAGACTTTATAAGAGACACAAACAAAATGACCCATTTTAAAAGCAGCCACTTGCTAACTCGCTCTCTGCAAGTGCCCATTTTTCTCCACTTACACTGTCACAGCACAATAATGTTATTCAGTTCTCATTCGATGACTGAGCCTTCCCACTCAAGTATCCTCAACAACAATCTAACACGAAAATAGAAAAAGCACAATTCTGCTGCTTTACGTCATAAAATCAAAGAAGTCAGTCAGATTTACTGAAACCTCACTAACTGCAAGTGATGAAGAATCAGCATCTTTGTGCCTTTGGCACTCACAGGCAAAGGTTCTGAAGTGTTTTCTCGGAGATTCTGAAAAATTTATAAATTACCACAAAGAAGATACATCAAAGAAGTGGCTCTAAAAAGAGAGAGAAACTGTGTAGTCTAGATGGCTGAGACAACTTCCAGGTCAGCATCTCCTAAATAAAGCCGCCAGGCCCTGCGTGTCAGAGCCCGGAACACGGACAGGTTCTGGGCACGCTGCTCCCTGTTTCGCGGCCGTTCACGGTGAAGCCAGACCCGGATGGAGACACGGCATCTACCTGTTTCCCTTCCCGAGCTCTCTGGTCCTTTGCTATTGTTGCCAGCACGTTGGCTGCCTGCTCTCCCCCCATCACTGAGATCCGGGCATTTGGCCACAGGTAGAGGAATCTTGGGCTGGAGGAAAAGAAAGAACAAACAAATTAATTCACTGTACAATACAGGTTTTCAGAGGCCCATGTTAACCTGTAAAACTGGTGGTTCTTTATTCTAGCTGCTCATTATAATTATATGGGGAGCTTTAAAAAAATACCGATGCCTGGAACCCACCCCAGTCTACTCTCCAGCAGTGGGGCCTGAGCACGGGATGATTTTTAAGTTCCACAGGTGACTCTGACGTCTGTTTTGATAAACTGCATTTTTCCATTTCATCTAAATGTACTAGGCATAAAAGTATTCACAACATCCTCTTATCACCTGTGGTCATGGCCTGTTTTCCACGCCTGATGTTGGTTACATGTGGCTTCTTGCTTTATTCTTTAGTTTTGCCAGGGGGTTCTCAAGTCCGGGCTGTACTGACTCTCCCATCCGCATAACGCTTGCTCTCCACGACGCCCCTCTCTCTACTCGTCTTGTGCTTGACAGGCTCTTCTCTCAACTTCGTGAGCGGCTGCTTGGCTTGCTGGTTTCCAGCCTTCCTTCTTTTCCAGGATATCTAGTCAAGTCTACAAACCTTTCTCCAAGCAAGACTTTAGCTGTATCACACACGTTATGACATGTGCTATTTTCATTATCAGCTGTTTCGAAACATTTCCTAATTCCCATTGTGGATTTCTTCCAAGAAGTACCTTTAGCATCACATTTCATTTCACCCCTCCAGATAATATAAATGAAGGTATAATTGATCAAGATTTGTGAACACCCTTCTATACCTCAAATAAACCTGAAATACACTGACCATCTCTAATTACACTTGAAGTACAAGTCTTTCCGAGAGAACCAAGACAACACCCACCTATATGCTCTGCCACACATTCCGTAGTTTCCAGCCCCGTAGGATCCCCCAATGATGACAGTCATCTTAGGCACGTTCGCACAGGCCACGGCAGCTACCATCTTGGCGCCATCCTTGGCAATTCCTTCAGCTTCATAGTCTCTCCCAACCATAAATCCTAAGAGGAAGAAGAGAAGGAGCCTCTGGAGGATGGATGATGCACAGAAGTCAATGCCGCCCAGTACAGGACAGAGATCTCGCCACAAACTAACGCACCCCAGGCCTCCTACCCTAACGAAATATTTATATGTGAAATATGCCCCCAAAAATAAAAATAAAACTTCTACTTTAAAGGGTAAAATAAAATTTTCTCTAATCACTTTTTAAGTTTTCTTGAAACCGTTCATCTGGATGCACACAGAGATCTTCAGACGACATAAGGATGCAATTTACTTTCAAGAAAGTCTCTCAGAGCAGCTGGTGACGGGAGAACGTGACGTGACAAGCTAAGGAAAGGACTGTGTGTGACAAGGCAAACAGCGAGGGCTTAGGTAGTCACTGACCTGGTTTAAAACACTGACTGTTCCTTCTGAAATGCTGCTTTAAAACTTTGATGAAATAAAGATGAATGTTTCATAGAGATGCTAAGAGTCCTTGTCAGTGACTCAACAGCAAGGTAAAAAAAAATGTCATATAATTACAGGATCCTTCTTCCTCTTCAAGCTCCAGGTCTGCAGCTGCGCTGGGCCTTCCAGCCTTGGGCTCCTTCCTCTTCACTTATAAACACTGGCCAGGCTTCATCCATCTCCCTCCCCACCCACAGACTCACCTGCCCGCTTGAGTGTCACTATTCGTGCTTTGCAGATCTCCTGCATGGGGTCATCCAGTTCAATTCAACTGATTTTTACGGAGCAGCTGTACTTGCTGAGGATACAGCAGAATGGAAGAACAGCCCTTGCCCTCACCAGGCACCATCCACTTCCTCCAGCTTCCCCACTGAGCTGGGCCCTCAGAATAGCTCAGAAACTCCTTTAACGACCTGACCTTAACTCCCTGTAACATGCCACCATTGCTATCTCAACTGTCGACTCTTTAAGCTCTCACACCGGCCCACCCCACCCCTCTGCCCCTCCAGTCCCTTTAGAGGACCTTTCAAGAGGAAAGTGACGCCGTCTCACTTGGCTTTCTCCAATCCCTCTCCTTCTCACCTTAAAACACAGCACAATCATGCTCCCTTTCTTCCTTTCTTCTCATCTCCATGGAAGAAATGAGAGTCACTCAAAGACCGCCCCTGAACCCTCTTCTCTTAGGGTGTTCTCACCTATTCCCACAGCTTGAAATCCACCTCCACATTCTGATGGTGCTGCATTTCCAGCTCCAGCTAACACACCTCTTCTGTGCTCAAGATTCACTCCACTGCCAACCATACATCTCCCACTGGATGTCACACAGGTCCCTCAAACGCAATGCTGCAAAACCAAACTCAACCTTGGCTCTCCGCCCCGACCCAGCCAACAAAACAAGACATCGGAATCTTCCAAGCCCTCTGGACAGAACTCCTCTCAAAACCCCTCTAACAAACCCTTGGACTTGACGCCGGCACAAACAGAGGTGTTTCAGCACCAGCTCTATTTAAAGCCCTGCCACTGTCAGGTGCTGAGTCCCTCTTCTCTCCACGCCTGCCTGATCCCAGCAACTGTTCAGAACCTCTCCTTCCTCCGAACCTGCAACAGCCAAGGACAACTCAGAATACTGGGCAAAAAGTTGTTTTCAGCTAACCCACATATCTGAGTGCCTCCCCTATGTCAGGCACCGTGCAAAGAAATACAAATGAGAAGCAGAGAACCCCAGGAAAAAAGAACTAGAGGGTCCAGGCCCGTGGCCTAGTGGTTAAGTTCTGTGCACTCCGCCTTGGTGGCCTGGGTTCAGTTCCCGGGCACAGACCTACACCACTTGGTAGTGGCCACGCTGTGGTGGCGGCCCACATACAAAATAGAGGAAGACTGGCAACAGATGCTAGCTCAGGGCGAATCTTCCTCAGGAAAAACAAACAAACAAAAAACAAAAACAAGAACCAGAGCCATAAGGGACCTTAAAAATCACTTCATCCACCATGTTAAGACCCTCTGTGGGATAGGAAATCCAGAGAAGCAACACCGGTCACGTCATCCTTTGGGGTCAAAAATCAAATCCCCAGACTTTGGTGCAGGACGGGCACATACGTTTTAAAAAGACGTTGCTTCTGGTAGAACTAACTGCACAGTAAAAGAGGAGGAAAAGGGAGACGAAAACATGCACTTGAAATCCTGGAAGGGGAACAAAGTCTTGAGAAAGAGACGATGGGCCAGACGACACCCCTGGCGGTGACCAGCGGTACCGGTGGAAAACAGCTCCGCCACTGTCTGGGCAGCAGGGGTGCAGGCGCAGGAGGAATGGGAGGCCACTGACTCTGACACACGTAACTCAGAGATTGCTTCTCTTAGAAAATACGAATAAACTCCCTCAAATCTTTAAGACTCATGAAGAATTCTCCCTTAAAGAGACTCTACAAAGAGCACGTCCAGTAGCACTTTCTGCTGCGAGGGACGTGTCCTCTGCCTGCACCGTCCAGTGTCCGCGCCACGTGGGACAGGCTGCTCCAGCATAACCACAACCCAGCTGACTGCGCACTTCCTTACCAGTGATGTTCTGGAGGAAGAGCAGAGGGATTTTCCTTTGGCAGCACAACTGGACAAAGTGAGTGCCCTATAAGCAAATAAGATAAAAATCTTTTTAAAGGGGGTAAACAAATCTGGCATCATCACGCACTCCACAACACCACACTTGGGTCAAAGACAAGCAGTCCGCTCCGCCTGGCCACTCTGACCTTACAGTGATAGTAACCATAACACTACGGCGTGGGCCACTATCAACGGACGTGGGACTGTGGTCTACACTGTCACCTGCGAGCGCTGGCACGCAGCTGTGGGACAGCCGCATCAGGGGTGATGTCAGCCACTAACATTCCCAATGGCAAGTGGAACTTAAGTAACAGACAAGAAAGAACCGCTGTCAATGAGAATTCCTGAACCTTGCTCTAAGAGAATTCTCTGGTTCTCCACTTTAAAAAAGATGGAATATAATCCAGAATCCTTCTGGGAGACCTACAGTGACATCTATGTCTTGATGATCCCCTGAAATGCTCTCAGGCACCAAGATTACAGTAAAATACATCTTTCTTACCAACACATCTCAAATAAATGGGATATTAGATGAGTGCTAGAGTCCTTCTAAACCTTGAGTTTAGGAAATTAATTATTTAATGACACAAAAATATAACTATTCCTTTCCGGTCTTCTAAAGATTATGTAAAAAAAACTCTTCTAAATCTTTCCTTTATGTTTTACTCTCTCTTTGCAGATCCCTTTAACTTTGCTGGAAATGCCAGCAAGTACAAAATTGCAGAGTGCTTGCTCGACCTCAGATACAAGAATGAGGAAATCACACAGCCCTTGGGGCTCCCTTCAACAAGGGAAATGTCAGACGGGGCCAAACACAAACTTCCCGGTTATCAGCACCAACAAACAGAACTATGTGGAGTCTGCTGGCCTCAGGCTGTCGTCTCCTCTAATGAAATTATATTGTATTATATGTCCATTAAAAGTCATTATTTCAGGGCTGGCCCAGTGGCGTAGTGGTTAAGCTCACATGCTCCGCTTCAGCAGTCTGGGGTTCGCAGGTTCGGATCCTGGGCACGGACCTACACACCACTCACCAAGCCATGCTGTGGCGGCGTCCCACATACAAAATAGAGAAAGACTGGCACAGATGTTAGCTCAGGGACAATCTTCCTCAGCAAAAAAGAGGAGGATTGGCAAGCAATGTTAGCTCAGGGCCAAACTTCCTCCCCCCGAAAAGAAAAAAAAAAAAAAGGTCATTATTTCAGGAATATTTTAGGAAACACTCACTACATATAACTATTAAAATGAAAAGAAACAAAACCTCTCTCTATATGGAAACACCAATTTTGTTTTTTAAAAAAAAGGATAGGAAAAACTAAGGAACCATTTCCAAAAAGTGAAAAGAAAACCAAGTTAAACTGATGACGGGATAGAACAGAATAATCAGAAGACGTCTCAGAATCCCCTGAAGAGCATGTCTGAATCCCTCAAGTTCGGGAAGCACTAGAGAATGAGACTCTCTCAAGACAAGTATTCCTACTATATGTCATCCATAGCAGATATAATCCAAGTGTCTTGTAAGAACTTTCCTAAAACAAATATTTGAATTTTTAACAGTCCTCCAGACAGCTCATTACGTTCATGTAAATCTCCATCAAAGCTGTTCCCAACACTAACGCACACACGCACTCATATTCACACATACACAGTGTTCTGTTTGCTAAGGCAGCTGGTTAAATATTTTAAAGCTTTTTTGCAATAAATGTTCATTCATTATTTGACCTTCAAAGTTAATTATGTTTAAATTAAAACAGAAAATCTTGAAATATTTTTAACAGTACTTGCCTTTTTTGCAGATTCAGAGAAGAGAACTCCATTATTTCCAATGATACCTACTGGGTATCCAAATATTCTAGCAAATCCTCAAAAGAAAATTCAAAAAAGATTTATGTATTTCAGAGGGCTTTTAACTCACAACAAACAGACATATTTATACATCCTTTATTTCAAATCGAAGCTTAAAATGTGGAGATTTTGTTTATTGTATAAAACAGCTCCTGTCACAATTTTTTATTTCTAAGGTAAGGAGTCTGGTTTTTGCTTTCTTGCGAGGGGTGCATTCCGTGTGAAGTTATCCCCTGGTCTGCCTGGCTGCTTCGGTCAAACAACTGGCTCAGCGTGTCCTCCGTCCACTTGTGTAACGTACACCTGGGTGCCCACTACGGACCGGACACTAGGGATAGTCTGAGACAGACGAACCACAGACGTAGAGCCCTTCAAGGTCCATGTTGAGAGCCGTTGGCCAGTTTCCGGGGACCTGCCTGCCTGAAAATGCCTGTGGTAACAACAGGCCCTTGAAATAAAGGGGATGCACCCGGCAAAGGCAAATTTTTAAAAAAACAGGAACACAGTTGAGCCTGGCGGCAACCCAGTTTAAAGTAAGAAAGCCAGTTAAGCTTAGAAGAAGAATGAACGGCTCCACTTGCATTTGCTGTTTGCATCTTTTCTTTCACCTTTCCACAGGTTTTGCTTTTATCCCACCACCACTTCCACTCTCTCTCCAGATAACCCCTCTCCACACACACACAGGAAAGGGAGAAGGAAAAGGAAAAAACCTGTCATTTTGTGAGGCAGACACCTAGGTGAACTGAGGAGGCTAATATTCTGTACACCTGAAGAACGTGATTAGAGAGACCCTCCCCAGGGTGGCTCTCCACGAGCCGACTGTAGACAGGTGTCAAACACTTGGAACCAGAGTCAACAAACTGCCTCTTAAGGCAGGTCAGGGCGAGTCCCCACACGCGTTCCTGGAGCCAGGCTCTGTCTCCACGCTCAAGGTGGACAGGCTGCGCCAAGACACACGCGGGGCCTGACACAAAGCAGGGGCTCCCAAAACTCACGGCTAAGAGAGAATCTCAGCCTACTGAGAAGCCGCAACACTGGATTTTTAAAGATTTATTTTTGCTCTTTACTCTGGCCTTGACTTATTATTTTTAAAAAATTATGTTTATTTAAAGTGATAAAATGCAACACTGATTTGATGGTCAGCTAGATTTCTCTTGGTCTTTCAGGCCTGAAATCCCAGCCAAAAGCCTATGCTGTGCACCCTAAATGGCAGAGGCAACGCAGGGGAGGTGAACTTCCCAGAAGGCCTGCCACGCCCTCTGACAGCTGCCCCACAGAGAGCTGGGGCTCTGGCCCGTCTCTCAGCAGGGTCCTACCCCAGAAGGGGAAGGCGTGCTGCCCTGTTCACCGCTTAGACTTGCAGCCCATACTTAGCCCTGTGCACCTCCAGGCACAGGGCCTGCTGAGGGGGACGAGGGACCCAGGAAAGGAGTGCCTCCACCAACTTCCTCCCAGCCCACGGGGAGCAAACAGTCCAAGGAACCACTGGGGCCTACACCTGGCAGGGGTGGGGGTGGGAGGGACCTGAGGGCTGCCAGAGACACCTGAGCCTCAGGAAAATCTGCTCGTCTCCCTCCTCACTCCCTCTCCTACGGCCCCCACCCTCTCACGCCCTTCTCTGACCCTCTCATGCTGCCCTCTGACCCTCTCATACCTCCCTGACCCTCTCATACCCCCCTGACCCTCTCATGCCCCCCTCTGACCCTCTCATGCCCCCCTGACCCTCTCATGCCCCCCTGACCCTCTCATGCCCCCTCTAC